TCCGACCCCTACGTACCGGCGGGGCGGGGCGGACGGCCACCCGGGCGGTGACAAGTCCATCCGCGAAGAGAGGTCCTTCCCTCCTCGTGAGCCGCTCGGCTAATTGCGACTGCGCACTGTTGGGAATTATATATCGTAAAATGACGAACAGTTTGTAACTCAGCCCTAAAGGAACGATCCTGGACACAAGAATTTGTTTACAATGAAACATTCTAACATCCTGATCAATTGGCACTATTAAATCGTGATGTTACGAATAGTTTGTTTTATACTGCTACGAACAGTTCGTAACGGAAATAAACGAATAATACTCGTTAAATTCAATTACACGAACTATTCGTGACAGATATTTATCTATCGTGAAATGACGAAATTAATTAACAGTTCGTTATTTGTGCCTGGTGGGCGGGGCGGGGTAGCGAGAAATACTTAACTTTTTAGAAAATCAGGGTACACTCTCCAAAAGAAAAATCAGAAAAACAACCTAGAAAAATCAGGTAAAATCAAGAAAATTCGGGAAACAAAATGACAAAACAATCAGAAAATTGAGGATGAAACAGAAAAATCTGCGTACGCTTGAATTTAAAGTCCTCGCACGGGGAAGCGTCGGGGCGGGCCGGGCCGCGAAGGTGACAGGAGGACGTCAGGAGGGAAGGAAGCACCCGACAGCCGCAACAGGCGCTGCCAAAAATGAATTGGTGGTGACGGCTCTCGCGCCGACCGCAACGGGCCTCGGCCGACCGCCCCCAACTCCGGGGGAGCACAACATAGGAAGAGAGAGAGAGAGAGTGCACCGCTGGGTGTGACTCTTTCAAGTAAAACCAAAAGAGACGAAAAAATTAATTGAGACAAACGTTAACAAACTTATCTGTTGGGTAAAAACGAGCCCAAACGGGTTCGCTCGAAAAACGAATCACATTTAAAAATCAACTATACCAATTTAATTGTGGCATTGGAGCCCTCACCGTAGCTCGCGACGAGTGTATGCTCTGGCCACGTGTTCGTCACGGAAGCGGAGTGGGCGTGCGCGTGATATGCGAGCCGCGGACACTGGCGCGCCCCGCCCGGTCGCACCACGCCCCGCCCCGCCCCGCCTCCCTTCACTTTATCAGCGGACAGCAGAAATAGCTCACTCTCGCTGATTCATGGCTGGCTTTGAAAACAAACAACGGCCCTGGGATAAAAACGCGAATGTGTGAACAAAATCCCTCCACTGCAGCAAGAGAACCGTATCAATTTCAGGAGGATACCTGTTGCAAAGAATTATGAAGCCACTCGAGGAAAAAAAAAAGAGAAAAAAACCTCAGCGGGGCGTGGTTGGGCTCGCGGGCCTGAAACCTTAGAAGCTCACGCACGCGACCGAGCGACAGCAGCAGCAGCAGCAACAGCCCTTCAGGAGACGTAGGAACCTTGAGGTGTGCTGAGGGTGGGGTCCAGCAGGTGGTGGGGAAAACACCGGGGGTGACATTCTATTTTTTCACTCCGATTTTTCTTTTACGTTTTTCCTCAGCGTCGAAACTCGGAACCAAAAGAAAATTACTCACATATCAGATGGCTCTGTGCGGCCGCGTGCACGCGAAATCGCCCGATAGAAAAACAATTCGTCCCTCTCGCAACGGGTATGGGATAGTACGTAGGTGGTGGTGGGCCAGCAGTACCTTGATTTTTACTGCAATCGCACGACACAGTGCCGATACAGTCGATACGGGTGAAGATTATTTTTATTTTCTATTAGCGTTCCGACTTACGAGCGCCAATTTTCAAATTTAAAATCACCCATATAGGTGATATATCTGTTTTCGATCAAGCGGCTACGAGAGCCGGGCGCTGCGGGGCAGGGGAGGCTGTGGTAGCACCGCCAGCCACAGGTGCCCGGATCACCTCCGCCTCGGCCGACTGCCTGCTCCTGACGCGCCACATGAACATCCCTCACGCCGGGCAGCCCGGCCCGCGCGCACGTCGGGGATTACGCTCGAACCAAGTGTTCTTCGGCCACACCAGCGTTTATGCTCACACAACGACCTCGTTAAGATGAAACATGTCGAAATGTCGCCCGGGCAGCAGCAGCAGCAGCAGCAGCGGAGGGCCACAAGAGAGGGGGGGAGGGCGGGAAGGGCACCCTTATAAATGGCGCTGCACTCTAGTGCGCCCGGTCGGAACGGCCTCCACGCACGAGACCCATCTCTCCTGCTCCTCCCGCCCGGGGGGTGGCGATGTGGCGAGGAGGGGAGGGAGCAGGGGGAAAGACCTTGAAGCTGAGACGCGCCGGCGCTATCAGATGCAAGGTGACACCGAGTTTGATTGGTTTTTGCGGAAATTCAAGACAGCCCGTGTGGCAAAGGTTTTCAACGAGTCGGAACCACAAGGAGGAAGAAGAGGACAGGAGAAAGGAGGGGAATAACGTCAAGGTGCGTTTTGCTAAGAAAATAATTGAGATGATTTTACAAGCGATAAGTGTTTGTGAGTGTGATAAGTGTGTGACATAAGGAATACAATTTAGGCCAAAGATAGCAACAAATTTTACTGGTAACTTTTCATTTTGAATACAAATTGAGTCGCGCACTTTTAGAGCAAGGCATCACACCACACACTTTAGTGGTGTGTGTGTGTGTGTGTGTGTGTGTGTGTGTGTGTGTGTGTGTGTGTGTGTGTGTGTGTGGAGAAGAGATAGAGAGAGAAGAGGGGGGAGGGTGCTAGATCGATTGCGGACCACGAGAAGGGTTAGGCCGCTGGCGACTGGGTTGGCCACCACAGAGCTAAGCGAGGCCCGGACGCGGGAACGCTCAGAACAAAAACACGGATTAAAAATTTTAAAAATTCTTGGAACCTTTTCTGATTTAATATCTCCGATTTAGATGCCGCTCACGCGAGCACGGAACTAAATGGTTACTTATCAAGTGGTCGGCTGATTTATATTTCTTCCCCGTGAACCTCATACAGATAAGTAGTATTACGGCCTGTTCGCATTATTTTTCTCAATTCTATCACTGTTTTTATTTCCATTGTTGCCCCCCTTCCTGCCAATTGGTCAAAGGGTATAGGGCATTCCTTCAACTTGCTCAGCTGTGCCCCACGGTACACAGGGGTTTATTTCGCTTGTCTCGCTCCCAAGGTCAAGCGTTTTTTTTTTCTCCGCGCCACCGGCCACCCCACCGGCCACCCCACCGGCCTCCTCACCCCCCTCAGCCTCCCCTGCCGGCTACCAAACCTGGGGGAGCGTGGCGGAGAGCGGCCGGGAAGGAAAGTGACAGCAGGGCTATAGGGGCCAACGGGAGGAGGGG